GGGAAGATGAGGCATCATCAACTGAATCAAATGCATCTTGTGTGTAGTCTGGTGACAAGAGCAAAGGAGACAGATCCAGCGGGAAGGGGGCAGAGGAAGGTCGGGGTAGCAGTTAAAGAGAGGGTGGTTGAGGAAGACCTCACTGAGAAGTTGACCTTTTCCCAAAGACTTGGAAGGGATGAAGGAGGGAGCCACGTCAATATTTGAGGAAGAGCGTTTCTAGCAGAAATCATGATGGGAGCAAAGGCCCTTTTGGTCACAACTTAAATATCAGCTCCTGAAATTCCCGTCTGAGTTATTTCCCCTCATTATCCTCCCACGTGGCCTCCCGTGCATGGCTTGCTTGGCTGCATCCCGGGGTGTAGCGGCACATCAGTTGGGACATTTCCTTGAAGGGCGTGTCCTTTCCTGGCTGTGAACCTCAGGAGAGCAGGTACCTGGTCTGAATTGTTTATTTCTCACCCCTGCACCCAGTATACACCTAGCACATAGTAGGTGCACAGCAAATCACTTGGATGAAAAAGTACAACTAAAAGGATGAGAAAGGAGTAAAAAGTGTAAAAGGCTCATTTTCCTTTAAATAGAGCTGAAACAACCCAGAATGTTGTTACTTGTTTTTACTTGTGAGATGGGAAAGGGTGGTTTCTATTCTATGCTGTGCTCTTCCATTCCATTTTATTTCTATTCTAGTCCTAGTCCTAGTCTTAGTCCTAGTCCTATTCTATTCTATTAAAAAAAAATTGCGCTGCTTAATTAGAACTAGTAATTACAGCTCCCATCCCTGGTTGGTGCCTCCACGGCTCTGGCCCTGAAAAGAAGATCATTTCGTATTTAATCAATATTAGTTCTGGGATGCTCTCAGGGGAACACGCTCACTTCGGGGCTGTGTAGTTGAATTCTCAGTGAGGCTAATTAGATCAGGAAAAGAGCCTGGGCTCAGGACAGAACTGCTGTGGGGCCACTAACAAGCAGAGAGGCAGAACCCCACCTGCCGTCCCCCTGACCACACGTACCTGACCCCTGCCCATTTGCATCTTTCCAGCCCCTGCCCCAGCGGAGGAGCAGAACCAGGTGTCCCTCCCACACCTGCGATGACTGACAGATCTCCTGTGGTAGATGGGTCAACAGCTGATGTTCAGATGGTACTGGGCCACCCTCCTCTTGAATCCTCCTCAGACGCTTCCTGGAGCCTCTTTTGCATGGCAAGTGGTGATGGGCAGGTGGGGGCATCCCTAATCAGCCCATCCCTCTCCTAGTGGGGACAAGATTTTTCCTTAATCAACTCTCTTCTCCCTGTTAATTCTGCTCAGTTCAACCTCTGTTATCACTGCCATCATCATCATCATCATCATTATCTTAACTACCGGGTCAAGATGTTACTGGGTACAAGGCAATTTAAACACAAGATTGCAAGCCTTGGAGGAAAACCTGCAAGAGGTTATCATTATCTCTGTTCCTCAGATGAGAAAATTGAGGCTTAGGAGGCAAAATCGCTGGCCCCACCACTGGTAAGTGGAGGAGGGAGGACTGGAGCAGAGGGCAGCAAAGCCTGAGTCCTGGCTTTGCAGCTAGCCAGCTATGTGAGCTGCACATACATTCCTTAAATCTCAGCACCATTTTCCTCTTCTCTCTTAGTTCTTTTGAATCCCAGGACAATGCCACAAGCTGGTGGTTACATTGTGTCCATTTGCACTTCAAAGATGCAGAAAATGAGGCTCAGGGAAGGGAAGGGCTTTGTCCATATTTGCACAGATCTAACTTGGTGGTGCTGGGACCCAGCCTGCATCTGTCAAATGCTGGTCCTGCCCACCCTGTGCCAGCTCAGTCTAGGGGAGCAATTTGCCCCCACTGCCCAGACTCCCTGGAACAGACGGATCTGCTCAAGGATGAAGCATGCTCTTCATTTCAAACACAGAGGGTCAGATCACCCACTCAAATGAACACGTATTATGCTGTCCTGTGTTCCAGATGTGGCCTGGATCTCGTCCAGACATCGGGGTTGGGGTGGAGCTTCCCCCAAACCCCTCCCATCTCCTTCCCTATTTCTCCCTCTGATGCAAGTATGGCTTCACGAGCTCTAGGACCAAACTGCTTGGGATGGAATCCTGGCTCTGCCATGTACCCCGTGTGTGCTGCTTGGCTGGTCCTATCACCTCTCTGAGCCTCAGCTGCTCATCTGTAAAGAAAGACAGAAAATAATGATACTTGCTTCATCAAAGTGTGGAGAAGATAAAACAAATGCTGACACAGAAAATACTCAGTCCAGGGCTTCACGAACAGTGACCACTCTGTACACAATAGCCATTTCTTATTTTGGTTTGGCTTGGTTTCTGGGGTCCCCTTTGGAGGGTAGATGAGCTCCCAAGTCTTTGACCCCAGTGCATGCATGAAGCCATGGGCGATGTGGCCTTGCTCATGGAGTCAAGTGTCCCCAAGCCCACAGCCTGGCTCTGCCATCACTCTGTGTGATCTTAGACAAGCTTAACCATCTCTGGTCCTGACTTTCCATCCTTCCCACAAATAAGTTGCCATAGAGAGCTTATCTCCGGTTTCTCTGCCACCTCTGAGACCCCAGTACACTGAGATCAGTCTGAGCTCCCACCCACAGAGGCGTTGGACCCTGGGAAGATGAAGGAGGCAGAAAAATCCACCCAGAAGGGGGAGAAGGGTGTCCTATTCACTGTGGCTGGTACTCTTTGTCATCTGTGGAGAGCTTCCTCTGCGCTGGGGCTGCGTGAGCCACTCTACCGGCATCACCTCATTCAAAACAATGCCACAAAGTAGGCATGGTTAATGTCCCGATTTAGAGGCCACGAGCCCAAGGTCATCTCATCCAGAAAGTGACACTGATTCCAGAGCCTGTGTTCTTGGGCACTTGACCATGGGTATTGTGTGAGGTCAGAACCCTTCACCAGTTTTCCTGTCTAGTTCTCATAAGCTGTGTGCCATAAGTGTGGCCACCTTGGGTCCCATTTCACAGGTGAGCAAAACGAGGTCCAGGGAGCATAAGCAAGGACACGCAGCCAGCAAGCAGGAAACCAGACTCGAATGTCATTGCCTTGACTCCTGACTCCAAACCCTTTCCACCAGTTTCCTCTGCCTCACTTGATTAAACCAACTGATAACATTGGGGGTGGAGTGGGTTGTCCCATCAGCAACTCCACCATCATTTTTACTTCTTCCTCATCTCCTTTTTCTCTTCCCCCCACCCTCCAGCAACTGTCCCATATTGTCACTGCTCTTCTCAACTCACCCACTTTCTTGGCAGGTGACAATAGGAAAGACGGAGTCCCCTTGCTCCTGAAATGAATTTCATCTCCGCTACTTTAATCCTCATCTTACTTACCACCAGAATCTCCGCTCCCTCCCCTCCCCCACCCCCAGCCCACACTCTCCGCCCCACCCACATGGCTTCCTGCAGCTGCTCTCACAAAGGTCACCAGGGATCTCTTAGTGGTTACATCCAAGGGGCACTTCTCAGTGCTTCCCTGGCTGGACCACACTTGCTGGTGACCACTGTGGACCACCACAGATCATCATTCACCTTTGTCAACCACTACGGAACACAGACCATCACTGACTACGAACGCCCATGCTGATGGCTGCTGACTACAGTGCACCTTGACTGCCGTCGACAAACTCACTGTCACTATTGACCACTGCCTGCCATCCGCTTCTTGATTCTCTGTCCCACTCCCCTCTCTCTACATCACTCTCTCTTTCTCAGCTCACCTCCCACCTCTTTGATGGCTTATTTGCAAACCACTTTGCTGGTTTGTCATTGCGTCCTCATCGCACAGCCACTTTCATCACTGTGCTCTTCTGCAGTGATTTGTCCCCTTTCACCTCTCTTGAGACAGTCTTATCCACACCATGGCACCAACTACCACCTCCGATGCCGAGGCTCACCTCCAGGGCAGCAGATGGAGGGTTGAGGCTGGCTCTGTCACTTACGCTTGGTCCAAGGCTTGGCCTTGGACAGAGCAAGTCATTTCTCTGATCTTCAATTTCCTCACCTGTAAAAAAGGGGGAGATGATAACTTCCTCTCCCAAAGGAGTGCTGTGATGATCAAATAAGGTCACAGATGTGGCCCTGACCAGTCAAAGCCATGACGCCCAGCAGGCACTCCGCATGTGCTCATTCATCTCTTTTCTTCTCATGAGATTTCTTTAATCTGAGAGTCCTTTACTGAACCTTCAGTCAATTCCTCTGTTGGTCCCCCAGAAAAAGGAAGGGGCTCATGTAGGTGAGGTGGTCAGGAAGGGTCTGGTAGGCTTGGGGAGATTAGCTTGTAGGGGATGGGGAGATGTGACAGTGCGGTATGTCACTCCCTTAGGGGTCAGAAGAGATCCTAATGTGACCATAATGTGCCCTTGGGACTTTCAGATCCAGATCTAATCAGCCAAGCTGCAGCTGGAACGTTCATTCCCCTGCAGAGGGCGTGGAAGACCAACCAGAGTTGCCCCCACCTGCTCCCCATACTCCTCCACATCATCCTGAACTGCTGGGAGACAGGACAAAGAGTATTTCCGCTGAGGGAAAGATGGTCAGAGGGCAGGCGATGGTGCCAGCCCCGCCCCCAGGACTCTGCTCCAGATGAGAGATGTAGAGACCAGCATGAAGGTGGCAGGTTAATGCTCACCCCACCCCTGGCTCCCAGGGGGGACCTCAGGAGCACAGCATTCTAGCAACATCTCCGTGGGGAGGAAAACGCTTGGTCCTCTGGGAAAGGAAGCTTCTGCGCACATGGTACTGTGCAGGGTCTGCAGGGAGCCTGGTTTTGCCTGGGTGGGGAGGTGGGATGGGAGGGGGCTGTTCCTCCGATAGACACTTTGCTCCATCCACAGTGCCAGGGCCTCAGAGCTCTGAAGGATCTATGAAAATGTTTAAGGCCTGAAAAAGTCATGGGATTTAAATACAAACAGAAAACTGCAACATCAATGCAACAGAAAGCTGATACGTGTTTAATTAAATGTCTACAAAATGTAACATTGTCAGAGTCACTTTCTGCTCCACTTGGCTCTTCCACAGTTACTAATACATGGATTTAATGTGGGATCTGATAACAGTATGACCTGACGGAGGAAGGCGCTCCCTAAAATAAGAACATCTGGGGCTGAAAGGGTCTTAAAAGAACAATGGCTGGGGTGGGTGGATGGGGAGGAGTAGGGGGTAGGGGAGAGCAGCCTCAGGAGACTTCACAGAGGAGGACCGTGTATCTGGAAGGGTGAGGAGCCTTTAACCAGCAGAGAGAAGGCCTTCCTGGGCCAGGGGAGCAGCACGGCAGAGCCCCGTGTGCCTGAGGAACAGGGACCGTTCACTGCGCCTGCAGCAGGAAGTGGGATGGGGGCAGGGAGGAGGGGGGCTGGGGCACACGTGTTCTTTCACCTCTGGAGCTTCTGCATCTTTGTACCTTCTTCCCCATCATTAAAGCCAGAAAGGAAGAAAACTGGAGTTAGATGGGGGAGACAATTAGATGGAGCTAGATGTTCCAGATAAATTACACCATCTCCACCAGACCAGGCCATCTGGGAGAAGGGGCTGAGCAGCTGACACCCCTCCCTCCCCACTGCCAACCCCGTGGCTATGAAGGGTTTGAGGAGGGTTCTCCAGCACTAGAGGGTAGCATGCGGACAAAGGGGGCAGGAAATACTGGGGGACAGCAGGCTTGGGAGTGATCAAAGGAATCACTCTGCAGCAGGAGAAAGGTTTCTTCTCCCTGTGGAGGTGAGGATCTCATATTAGGAAGGAATCTGGTTTGGGCTGGATGGCCTCCTGCACAGAAGCTGGGCGGGCAGAGGGGTGGGAGGCTGGCTGACCTATGTTACAAGGCAAGGTGAACTAGCTTAGCTGTGAGAGTGTTGGCGCAGCTCGCAGGGTACCAGTGCCTGGCACTGGGGAAGCGCTCTGCGTACAGCAGCCTGTTGATTCCTCACAGGAACCCTATCAGGTACAAACTGTTACTGTTCTCTTTTGACAAAAAGGAAACTGAGGCACAGAGAGATGAAGTTAATGCCCAAAGGCATCAGCTGGAAAGACGGAGCCAGGAGGTGACATTCGAGTTCCCTGCAACTCCAAATTCTAAAACCCTAGGCTTCAGAGATTCTTAAGATCTTGTGTTTTAATTCTAAAAATCCATAATTTAATGATGCCATGAATCTAGGGTGCTGTATTTCTAACATTCCATGAATCTAAGAGCCTTAGAGTCTATAATTTGATGCTAAGTCTAAGGATCTAAGGCTTCATTGCTCTAAGATTCTCTGTGTCTAATATTTTATAGGTGACACAGGGGGTTATTCAAAACCAAACACCATGTGATAGGGAATTTCTTTTCCTTCTTCTCAAAGAGAGAGGTCAGTACTATGTTTCCAAAGGTCTGAGCTGTCCCTTTCCACCCCTGGACCTGGAGGTGGGCAGGGGAAGCCAAAACCTTTGTTATTTTGGGCCCATTACTCAGAGATGTCCCCAAGGGGGGTGGCTGGAAGCCAGTGCATGGAAAAGAAATTGACCCAGAAAGCAGAGGGGGATCGTTAAGGGCATTTTCTAGAAGTGAGCCATCAGGGAGCCCCTCCCCCTTGCAGGGCCTGGGAGGGATGGGGAGGTCCTTCCAGGGGAAGGGCGCAAGGTCTGTCTCAGCAGGTTGGTCCTAAAGGAGGTGTTCCTGCTCAGGCCCCACCCCTGTCACTCGATCCCTGTTCCTGTCCAGTTTTCCTCACAGTGTGGGTCTCTGGGTGAATCATGTTCTTCCGTCTTGTGTTTTTGATCCTTGCTTATCCATCCCTATTGAAACGCCAGCTCTCTGAGGGCAGATACCAAGTCTGGGCAGGGTGTGAAGTAGGTACTTGTTCTTGGAACAAGTGGATGTCTGAGCTACACCATCAGACCAAGACCGAGACAGCATCATTGCCTCCTCATCCAATCAGCTGTTCAGTCCAGATGGCCCATCTCCTAAAGAGCTCTGGGATCCATTCCCTCCTTGTACCCCGCTTTCTACAGTCCTTGTTGAGGGCGCAGGCTCTGGAGACAGGATGAAGGGGTCAGTTCTGCCACTTACACCCTGAATGACCTGGGGCAAGTGACAATCTGTCTATGCCTGCTTCTTTCTACAAAGTAGAAATGGCAATAATTGTATCTACCTAGGGGTAGTGAAAGACAGAAATGTTTATGTCTAGAGTGTTCAGAATGTGCTGGGCAGACTGGGAGCCTTCGGTCAGTGTCAGCTGTGGCTATCAATCGAATCATTAGTACTATTATAACTTGCCTTCCTAATGCCTACTGAAAGAGGTCCCCAAAGCCCTTCCTAGTGTGGCCTCTCCCTCCAACCTAATTCCCCCTCAACCCCTATCTTTTCAATTACACAGAACGTTTTTCCTCCTGTATTTTCTGGCCTCCATGCCTTTGGGCATGCTGTTTCCCCTGCCTGGAAGGCTCGTTCATCCTGTTTCCCTGGCAAACTCTTACTCTACCTGGATGAATCAGCTCAGATGCCACCTCCCCTCTGAAGCCAGCTCAGAGCTCCCCTCCTCCACCCCTTCTGGAAGCCCCCTGGGTTGCCAGCACCTTCTCTGGGCTCCCACAGTAATCCACACTTTCCAGGTCATACCTCCAGTCACCCAGGACAATTGCCATCCCTTATGTTCCCCAGGGCAGGGACTTCCTCTGCTGTATTTCCATCTCTGTGTCCCTGGTCCCAGAACTCCACTTGGCACAGTGTAGGCGTCCATGAGTGGTTACTGAACAAACAAATAAACAAGTACACGGTGCCAGGTTCTCCTAGGTCCTGAATGATTCACCCCCACTCTCCCTGTTTGAGTTTTGGTTTCCCCATCTGTAATTTGGGTCCTGTGGGGCCCTCTCTCCCAGGAGAGCAAAGAACGCTGGCATCCTGAGGCTGGCAGCACTCCAGAGCAGGGCCTGTGAACGGGAAGGAATTCTGCTATTAAGCTCATCAGTTCTGCAGTCGGCCTTTGGAGAGAGGAGCTTGCCTGGTAATTAGGGTTGTTAGGGGAGACAGAGGCGGGGCTGTATTCATGCCAGCGCCGACCCTCAGCAGCCAGACCCGAGACTGTGGGCGGCAGAGGGGAGCACTGGGACAGGGCCACGTGGGCAGGCACCTCCGCCTCATCTCCCAGAAGCAGAGACAAACCAGCGTCTTCCTCCTCGGGTGTGAGACCCCGCGGCGGTCCCAGATCTGGCCTGAAGGTGGCGCTGCAGGCTCTCTCAAGTGCACTGAGCCCGGCGCCTGGAGGTGGGGAGGGGCTGGAGAGAACCGAGCTGAGAGGTGGCAGAGGAAGGAGGAATATAAAGGACTGGAAAACAGGACAGAGAGAGAGAAGCAGGGAGATGAGAGGAGAGAGTAGAGAAAACACTAGGGCGGGAAGGGGGAGCTGGGTGGGGAGAAGGAGGATTCTTCCCAACCTGAGGCTTGGGGGAGCCTGATCCTCCAGGAAACCGCACCACAAAGCCTGCAGAGGGGTCACGTCCTCCCTTGCCCCGTCCGCCATCCCTGCATGGCTCCCGGTGTCCTCAGGGTGAAGCCCAGCCTGCACAGCCCAGCCCCACCCTCTGTGATCTGACCCCAGAGGACCCCTGCCCTCTCTACCTTCCCAGCCCCACTCCACCCTCACACCCCAGGCCCTGGCCACGCAGCACTGCCTGCCACTTCCAAGGGTCCTGAATGTCTGTCTCGGCCAGGCCTTTGCAGGTGCGGGGCTGCCGCCGCCAGTAATAACCTTCTCCCCTGTTTATCCCCCCTGCTGGCTCCCCCACTTCTCCTCTGGGTCTCAGCATGGACATCACCTCCTCCCGGAGGTCCTCTCTGACCCCCTGTCCTGGGTCAGGATCCTCGCCTGGGCTCCCCCTCCCACCCCACATCTCCCCGCATCTCAGCACTAACCACTCTGGGTTGTGACGCATGCACCTGTTTCCCCAGCCAGACTGGGAGCTCCCTGAGGGCAGGGACATGGCCTCGGGCCCCTCAGCGTCCCCATCGTGGCCAATCCAGGGGCTGAACAGGCACAGGTGGGCAATAGACCCTGCCTGTGGGATGGATGAATGATCTGATGAGGGGCTGAGTGTGGGAGAAAAGGAAGACAGGCATGGAGTAGGAGGAAGAAAACAAAGGAAAGAGATGAGTTAGAAGAGAGAGAGCGCTGAGGAGGGCACCCCAGCCCTGGGTGTGAAGGATCCCTGGCCCCCTGGGTCTGCCTGGCGGCGATCTCCCTCCTGAGGTCAGCTGGCCGCCTGGCTCTGGACCCCTCTGAACACCTGAAAATTTCTTTCCATGGTTGGAATTAGGGCTCATTGAGTCACAAGTAGCAGAATCTGTTCAGCTGCAGGGAAGAGAGAACTTCGTGTAAAGACCCTGCTCTGTGGTTTGGACGCCAACTGGAGGGAGAGCAAGGGGGCTTCAGGAAGGACGTGGGAGCCAGGCTCTGCCCCTGTCCCTTTCTGTTTCTCTTCCTGCAGGATTTCCTGTCTCTACTCTCAGCATTACCCACAACCCAGGACTTCACACAGCCTCGGCTAAGTGACCCCCACGCACATTTCAATCGCCGAAGTATGCACGTGTGTATCCATGAACACCTCCCCACCCCCGCAGACACTTTTTATGAGAAGAGAGGCCAAAATCTTAAGAATTTTACTCACTGGCATCGTAGAGCAATGTGCAAGCTGGCAATACAACTCAAATCTGGCTCTAGGAGACCTGGCTGCTCTGGGTAGACACTGGCATCATCACTGGCTTGGTCTTTGTCTCCTGTAACAGCTCTAATTACCAGCAAAGCTCTTCTCTCCAAAGAGGCAAGGGGCCGGAACTACATCTTGCTTATTTCAGGTTTCACATTAGACACTGTCTCCTCGAGGAAGCCTTCCTTGATTGCCAAGGCCAGATTAAATATCTCTTCTATTCAGGTCCACATTCTCCTTGCCTGAGCCATCACGGCACACAATTGGTATATACTTACCTGTCTCTTCCTACTGGACCATGAGTTCCATGAGGGCAGGGACTGTGAATCATAGGGGCCTTTTACAGGTGTTATATGTCTAATCAGCATCTGTTGAATGAAGGAAACTGCCTAGTGACCCCAATGTCTCCATCTACTTCTGAAACTCCTTTTTGCTCCCACACCAGCCTGGATCCCTACTCTGACCCTCTGCTTTCACTAATTTGCATCTGTCCTCTGTCTCATCCCCTCACTTGCTCCAGGGAAGTCACAAAGGGGCCAGGAAACATCGGAGTTACACACTCACAAACTCCCAGCTCAGTCATTTCCTGGCAGTGTGGCTGTTAGGAAGTTCATCTTTGGCTCTCAATATTTTTTCATCTCCAAAAGAGACAGTTTGCAAACAAAGGTAGAGGGATTTAATAAACTATTTAATAAACTCCCTGGCAGAGGCAGAAGGGAGTCTGTGCAGAACAGGACATAAAGGGGAGAGAGGGAGTTGCAATTACAGTCGCCGAGTGACAGAAGCTGTCAGCAGGTGCCTGCCACGTAGAAAATGACATCTGGACTTCATTCCTCATGGCAGTGACATAGAGAGGGCCAGAGAAGGGTGTGTCTGCAAAGGCGCATCTGAGCCTGGGGAGGGGCCGGGGTTCAGAGTCCTGCTGTCTGGCCCCAGGGAAAGGAGGCTGTGAATGGAACTGAAGAAGAACCATTTCCTGTGCCGAGTAACTGATACTTTCCCAACTGGTCTTCATTAGCCCAGCCCAGCCTAGGGAGCCTGACCCTCCTCTACTGAAATGGGCGGGGCCTGAGGCCACTGCAAAGCACACGAACAGTGGGGCGGGGACTGGCCTTGACATCCTGTCCTCACCACTGATGCTGCTTGTAGTGTATGTGCTCTTGGCCAGATGTGGTGGGCAAATCTCTTCCTGCAAACCCACCCAGGCGTATCCGTTTCCTCATTTTACAGATCGGGGCCCTGAGACTCACAGCCCTGTGCTCTTTCCATCCCTCCCAGTCCCCAGATTCTGCTTCTTCCTCTATCAATACCTAGCTAGGTAACCGGGGGCGGGTCCCCTGCCCACTCTGGGGTGAACAGAATGAGCCACAAGGCCCCTTCCAGCCCTGACACCGGTGGGTGCCGTGCCACGCAAGATGTTCAGCAGGCTTTTTCACTCCATCTGTAGGCAGCCAGCAAACTTGGCAAAGCTCATCTTCCATTCCCTTTTCTTGCTGTGATTTGCTGTTTGGGGTCCTTGGAGAAGCCCCTGAGTAAATATTAATAATGTGCCTTTGTGTACATTGGCTGAGAAAGAGAATGAATCATTTCCTGCCTCCCTCCTGGGCTCAGAATCTTAACTAAAAATAAACTAAAAATAGGTTGGTTCTTTCAGGCAACTTTGATGGGTTTGGTGGATGGGGCTGAGGCAGTGCCAGGAAATAGCTCTCCCGCTTGCTGCCTCCATGCCTGGAATCCCATCACCCCAAAGCTGCCTGGACTCCCCTCGCAGCACAAAGAACCCTGGTACCAAAAGGCCTAGGTTCATGTCTTGGCTTTGACATATCTCATCTTTGCCCCTCTGACTCTCACTGGGACTGGAGTCCGGGTTCCATCCTGCAGGCTAGCCTGGACGCTTCTGAGTGGCAAGTTCAGTCCGTATTCCCTGCTGTCTGATCTGTTCTTAGTGCCGCAGTTTCTGCGCAGAAGCAGATTGTGAAATGTGGAAGGAAAACATAACTCACACTTCAGGTTGCCGAGGGGACACAGAGTGAAGAGGACAGAGGGAGGTGGCAAGCCAGTCTCCAAGCGCTGGCTTGACGTTCGTCCTGTGCAAAGCTGTGCGCACACCTGCTGTTTCGTTTGATTTTTTTTTTAATTGAAGTTTAGTCAATTTACAGTGTGGTGTCAGTTTCTGGTGTAGTGATTCATTTATATATATGTATATTCCTTTTCATATTCTTTTTCATTATAGGCCATTACAAGGTATTGAAGATAGTTCCCTGTGCTCTGCAGTGGGACCTTGCTGTTTCATTCGATCTTTATAACAAGCCTGAAAATGACAGAGAGCTGCCCCCAGTGTGCAGATGAGGAAACAGGCTTGTTGAGGGCGCTGCCTCAGGCCCCATTGCTGGTGAAAGGAGAGGAGGTTTGAGCCCAGGACCTATTCCAAGACTCACTCTCCATCCTCATCAGGCTGCCAGGGAAGATTCAGGTGAGGGGGATCAGGGAGGATGTCCTCGAGGAGGGAACTTTTGAGCGGTTTTGGAAGAAGAGAAGTAACAGACTGGAATGAAGATAGGAAAGTCCAGGCGTTGACCCTGGGGCGGGGAGGCCCTGCAGGTGCAGCTCATCAGTGAGAACCACAGATGCTGTATCTGCTTGAGCACCTACTGTGTGCCAGGACTTTGCTGGTACCTGAGATGGGTCATCTGATTTACTTCATAGATGGCCTGTGATGTGGGCACTATGACAGCTGGTCAGTGGTGGAGAACGCTGGACCAGGGTTATCTGAACTGCACTCCCACACCCCAGATGGAGCTTCTGCCACCAAAACCTCTCTCTCACTGTGTGTCTGTGGCCAAATCACTTAACCTCTCTGAGCTTCCATTACCTCACCTGTGAAATAGTCACGATAATACCTCTGAAACCTGTGCCTGTCTTGGCAGCTGCTACCTTTGTTCTTGGAATCATGGTATTCCAACTGCATCACAATCCATTTCTGTAAAACAGCCCTTTCTGCTGTGAAATTCACTCAGACCAGCCAGGAGGGCAAGCCCAGAAGAACAGGCTAAGCGAGGGCAGCACGGTGTTTCACCTGGTGTAGACCCAGCTTGCTGGCGCAGGGCAGGTAGCAGTGGGGAGGGATCAGCTGGTGTGTGCCGAGCACCTATTCATCGAACCTTCATTGAAACAACTCAATGTTGTCTGTTGTAACAAAAGAGGAAAGAAGTTCAGAGAAGTTAAGCAACTTGTCCAGGCTCACACAGCTGGTGAGTGGTGAACAAAAGATGCAAGCTCAGGGCTTTCTGATGTCAACCCACACTCTTTCCAGTTCACTGAAAAGAAAGAAGGGAGAAGGCACATTTACTGTGAGCATTCACAGAGATCTTCCTAGGGGCCAAGGGCTTTGACTTCATAATTCTATTCTCATCTCATACACACACTGAGGAACCATTACTTCTGTCTCCATATTGTAGATGAGAAAATTGAGGCTCAGAGAAGACACTCAGTTGCCTGGGTCTCACAGGCTGGGAACGGTAGAGCCAAGACCTTGACCGCAAGGTCAGCACTCTTTCACAGCATTCTGGGGAGAGAGGAAGACACTCGGAAAGGCTCTCATTGTCAGCTCAAGGTCATCCAGGTGGACACTGTTATCTGTGCTGGGAGAGATGCCCTGGTGATGGGAAGATGGTGGCTGAGAAAGAGTTAAATTGCTTGCAAGATGGCAGCCTCCTCCTAGGAATCTGGCAGCTGAGGCTGTTCCCCCATGTTTGTGTTTGGTTTGCTGGTTTGCTGGTTTGCTGGTTTGTGTTTGCTGATGCTGGCTGAGAACACTGTGGGGTCTTGGCTGGAAGCCCACAGCTCCCGTCTCCCCACAGGAGGGTGACAGGCAGCTAGGGGGACACAGAGGTGTGCTGAAGGAGGTGCAGCATGTGACAGATGGGGAGGAGGCCCCAGGATGTAAAACAAGGTCCAGGGAGGAAATGCAGGGAAATGAGGGGCCCATGTTGTCCGGGGCTGGCTGCAGTGGAGGATGCTGAGAGTGTGCAGACAACTGTGGGCAAGTGGCCTCAAATGCCAAACAGGGACAACTGGCTTGGAGACCTCTGAGTCATGAGTGTCAATGTAAATGTGACTCCTGGTGACTTCTAGAAACAGCTTGGGACAGTGGCTGGGTGACTGAGTGTCTTGATTCTGTTTCTAAATCACTGTGCAACCTCAGGGAGCTCACTCAACCTCTCTGAGCTTCAGTTTTCTTATTCAAGTTAAGGATGAGAGCTACAACCTAGGAGGGCTGGGGTGTCTGAGTTCCACAAGAACCCTCATCATCTTGTGATCCTAGAGGCTTTAGGACCATGGATCTACTGTCACTGTTTTTTAATGATTAATTGTGGTAAATATAAATAACACAGAAGTTACCGTCTTAACCTTTTCAAAGTGGCATTAAGAACATTCACGTTGTTGTGCAACCATCACAACCATCCATTCCCCAGAACTCTGTTAATCTTGCAAAATTGAAACTCCATTACCATTAAACAATAACTCCCTATTCTCCCCCCACTGCACAAGCCCTGGCAGCCAGAGGCACCACACACAAGTGGGATCACACAGTACTGGCCCTTTTGTGACTAGCTTATTTCACTTAGCATAATATTTTCAAGGTTCATTCATACTGTAGCACGTTGAATAATATTCCATTGGATGTATGTGTAGACTACATCTTGCTTATCTGTCATCCATCAGTGGGCACTTGGGTTGCTTCTACATTTTGGCTGTTGTGAAGAATGCTGCTATGGATGCGGGGGTGTGAATATCTCTTCAAGACTTTGCTTTCAATTATTTTGGGTATATGCCTAGAAGTGGAATTGCTGGGTCTTATGTTAACTTAATTTTTAATTATTTTGAGGAACCATCTTCCTGTTTTCCACAGCAACTATACCGTTTTGCATTCCCACTGCCAGTGCATAAGAGTTCCAGTTTCTCCACATCCTCACCAACATTTGTTATGTTCTTTCTTTTTTTTTTCTTGATAGTAGCCATCCTAATAGGCTTCTCACTGTGGTTTTGATTTGCATTGCCCTGATGATTAGTTACGTGGAGCATCTTTTCAAATTCTTC